AATGAAATTCGTTAAATTAAAAGGATAATCGATAATGATGCGAAATTACATAATTATTCAAAGTGGCCATAATGTAAGATTTTAATGTGATCGTGATTTTTTATTTATTTGTTTATGAGAAAAATTCTTTTATGTGTTTTGTATTGAAAGGTGTAAATAAGCTGAATCGATGTGTAAATTAGCCGAGTCAAGAACAACTCGAGTTTTTTATACTCTTACATGTGCTCGACTATCTTAGCTAGTTGATTGAACAAGTTAATGAAAATTTTTGATTCATTTATCAATATTAATGAATCAAACTCGAATCTTAATAATAGTGATTATTTATAAATTTGAAAAATTATCTAAAGCTCAAATTCTCGAGCATTAACTTCGGCATAATTTTTTTCAATTAAACAAGTTGAGTCGAGCTAATAAGTGGCTCGTTGGTTATTTATTTGTTATTAATTTTTCTATATGAGAATAAATTGTTTTAAAGGAAAAAGAAAAGTAGGGACCGAGGCATTAAATGCAAAATGAGAACACTAAAGGGCAACTTTGAATTAATGCTACTAAAAATACAAAGACCTTTTGGCTTTCTTTTAATAGCTCTAATTAATGCTTGTAAATTGTAATGACTGCCTTTATTTAAGTTTCTTTTTTTGCAGAAAAAAAAAAATGTTTATGTATTTTCTCATTTTTATTGATGCATTAGTCGATTGTTGTCTGTATTAATGACTACCCAAGCTTTGGTTGATACCTTTACGCCCTGTTTGGTTGACCTATTTTATAGTCCCATGAATAGAGTTTCATGGGCATATTCAAATTAATACAAATTCATGTGTGTGTGCCAATCTTTAGTATTTTTCAACAAAAAATTATATTCATGTTATGAATTGTTATAATTATGTTTATTTTTTATAATGGAATATAATTATTTAATTATTACCCCACTTTATTTCAGTCTTACTGTCAAATTACCCCATTTTACTTCACCTATACTGTCAAATTACACTTCTTCACATATTTCATAAACTAATTTTATAAATATTGTGCAAATAATGAATAATAGATTTTTTTAAGTACAATTTCATCAATAAAGATAAAAAAAATTAATTGCAATATAGGGTAAATTACGCCAAACCCCCCTGTGTTATACGAAATAGGCGCACTTCTATCTTGTCTTTTAAAAAATGCATGACACCCCCTTGTATTTAAGTAGTTGTTGCACGATTCACCCATTCCGTCCAACTTAACGGCGCGTGCACAACACCTTCTATACCTGTGAAAATTTTACATTTTTTTTATTTTACATAATTAATAAATTACCTTTATACCCTCCTGTGCTTTATTGAACAAACTAAATTTTTTTGTCAATAGGAGGAATCAAACCTGGGTCTCAAGGAGGTGAGCTTGCCCACTAAACAAATGGGCCATATAGATTATAGTGTAAGAATTGTACACAACTACATTTATTATATCAACTCTAAACGAATTAATAAAGTAAAATAAAAATATAATAGGTAACTTTAAAACAAATTAAATAATAATAATAATAATAATAATAATAAGAGTTTGAGAATAAAAATAATGTAAAAAATACAGTATGATAGAACTTAATATAGTAGCATGAATTGAAATTAAATAAATTATATATTTCTATTATAAAATTAAAATTAATATAAATTTGGAAATATATAATAATAAAAAAAATTAGATTTAAAAATAAAAACAATAATTAATATAGTAGGTACATTTAATATATATTAAATAATCATAACAATAATAATAATA